AACGATATCGACAAAACGATATCGACAATACGAACGGCCTTGGCGTCACCACTTACATCATCGAAGCCCTTTGACACTAGAGGGCGCGCTTTATAGAAAAGTCGTATTGAACAGCATTCTTATTAACTTTAATATATCCCATTTTTAGCATTATTTGCTCACATCCTGTGTTTATAACATGTTCTGAGAGTGATGTTTGCAAAGCGGAATGCAACTTTAATAACTACTGTCAGAGATACATTACTTGGGGTTTGCAACTACGGTTACATGATACCAAGATCCCGTTTCAATCTCGCTCTCGCATAAGCGTTCCAACTCAGAAAAATGCGAATGCGCATGCCCGAGGTAACTAGGATACTGGGATGTCCAGGTGGATCAAAATAGCTGCCCACGATATGACGGATTACGAGAACTATATTTTCTGTACATTTTCGATGTATTACATTTTTCACTATGATAGTGGCAAGAATTTTTTTATTTTTTCATTACAAACCTTGACCATTGATATATGTCATGTCAGAAGGTCGTCGCCTCAGTCTCGCTATCTACGAGAAGAGACTTGAATGGGATCTTGACATGATGTCACCATACAGTACTATGCGAGTTGCAAACCCCAAGTAATGTACCTCTGCTACTGTATGTTACCTGGGGTTTTGAACGCTCTTACTGCCGTTGTGAAGAACTGGGGTAGCATTTTCTCTAGGACTCTCAGAGTGTTTTCGTATTCTTCACTTAGTCCCACCACAAGGAAGTGATTTATCACGTTCACTTTCGCGGTCTGCAGCGCCCATTCCGTCGCACTCCTATTGGGATAACAAACACGAAATTTCATTATTTGAAAGATAAACTTCAGCACTAAAGCTGGATTCGGATTAAATTGCTGTGATTTTTTCCCATGGACGCCATAATCGCCGGTAAGTGGTAAGTGATTAGAATGTACATCACGGGGGGGATTGGCACGAGAGGGCGCCATCCGATCTGAATGAAACGTTTCGACGTCAGTCGTCCGTAGCCCATCGTCAAAGCAACAACGTCCCGTTTACGAACAGTTGAAATAGTTTCAGCCATTTCTTTACAGAATAATCCTCAACAAAGCTTAGAAACATTTCATAGAAAAATACAGGCTCCAAAAATATGTCTATTGCAAAATAATTCAACCGACAACCAGTCTGACGCCACAATTTATTGCTGGAGCCCGAGTTCTACGCGTGATTTTATTGCGTTCAAAACTGTTCCATTTCAAACTGCGCATGCACACACACTGTGGTTTCTCGAAATACATACTAATTAGGTAAATTGTCATTGATAAAAGTCACCGAAAACATTTTGAGCAATTTTGAGCAATAGTACTAGAGAAAAATATAAATGTGTCTCTGCATTCTCCATGAATTTCGTAACTTGCTATGACCAGGTTAAAGAGAAAACCTGTGCTTACTCTCAACAGTTTGCTGGAGTCTGATCTTAAACATGTCTCAAAAAAGACCTTTACACCATTTTTCCGATTATTTTTTCAGCTCGTAACGATAGAATCAGTCAATTTAGAACTATCATGTATGCTATCGGAAAGCATTTTGGCACAATTTTACTGAAAAGACGAGGTTTTCATTTCTCATGAATATTAATTTATGCAAATGAGACGATCAATCGTGTCATGCACCCCCCCCCCCCCCCTGTACATCGATACTTCATCCGGGAGTCTCCACGCAGTCGATGGTTGGCATCCGGGCATTTTCAACCCCTGGCAACCATCACGGTGAAAAGAAAGGCCGGAATTTTTCAGAAAACGTTATTTCAGGGTTACTCCCCTGAACAGTGTTACTGTAAATATAAATTTGGTTGCTCAGAATTACTTCTAGGTTGAGTTTGTGTTGTTTTCTTGATAGCTATTTTCACCGGCTCTTCGACCGGCGTACCATGTATACCACAGCAGTTCGCGCAGAGCCCATAGAAATACTACAGTGGTGTGCGTCTTAGCAATGTGGAACATCTTGTGACGTACTCCGCCCCCGGGGATAATATAAAATACCCTTTTCATTTATAAGTCTAGCGCTCACATCTTTGTCTCTGGAAGAGGCATTTCAGGTGAAATCAGAAAGAGGCTCCCGAGTGAAACTTCGATGTATAGCATTTTGAAGTATAGTTATTAGTTGGGCTGTACTTGTTGATTGTTCGTTTTCGTTGCTGGATAATCGGATTTTTCCCGAGCATGCGATGTTATTTCTATTTATGATAAAATTCGACCTACCTACATTGTTGTTGCTGTCCACAGAAATAGGGTATAATATAGAATATATTATCACCCCTACATTCTGATTTGTTGAGCAGAACACAGTCATCAAACGACTGGAAAAAAAAGGAATATTCATTACAATACAAAGATATATGCAAATTAACATTGCAACGCGCATGCGCACATGAGTTTTTTTTCCCCGACAAACTTTAGGTAAAACGTTTTGCACAATTATATGTAAATTTCTATCAATTGTTCATTTTGGACCGAATGAACATATTGTCTCATTGACTACATGACTAGTTCAGCATATTTATTTTGAAGAAAATAATATGAAAACTCACGCTGAAAAAAATTCAATTGTCTGAGAAGAAAGTGTCGAGTTCAGCCCAGTCACGAATCTCAGAGGGTAGAAAATATTTCGATGAAAACAATAAATTTGTGTGCACTTTATAACCAGTGTCACGTGGTATTTTGGCTCGACAGCGTCAACATAAACAAACCACGGCACGAGATTTCAAAAGAAAAATCAGAAGAAAAAAAAATACCTGATACTTTGTTTCACCAAGAAAACCCTTACTGCTATTTTTATCATCGCCGAATCTTTTGAAATAGTATTCGGAAACAAGTCGATCTAGAGGACGGCGTATAATGTTAATGTAAATTGGTCTTTGTGCTCCAAATCTGAAAATAGACGAAATAGATAAAAAATGCCATAAACAAATTCGAGTGCGATATGTAATGGTGTTCGGCACAGTTTCTCACCGGGATAGATACAGTGAATTACTACAAAAAAGTCATAGTCAGTCGTTATATTGGTGAGTAATGTTCTTTTTCACAATGTCGTGCCAAGTACTTTGCTTTTATTTGAAGCGGGCGGGAATAGGTGATTTTCCGAACAATTGCGAGATCTCGCGAGATGCATGAAAGACGCGCGTCGAACGTCTGCCGCAAAAATCGAACGATTTGATTTTGAACTAGAATTTCTTTATTTCGCAGCTTACATTGACCGGCCGATCTTCGACAGAGGAATATTGCTTCCGAATACCCTCACTTAATCGAAATTGCCTATCATCAAATGTGGACAGCACATTATTAAGCATGGAAATGTCCCCGAAATACTTTCGCGTTTGTCGAATCCCGCGCGATGTTTGACGCGACTACGACGCTATGACCTTTGTTTGTCCTGTTTTTACGTTCGATTTCACGCATAACGCGTGATTCTCGCAGTGTACGGAAAATGGTCTATTGAGTCCCAAGCGACGATAACAACACACGCTAAAAACGCAAAGGCTCATGGGTAGACGCTTGTTTGTAAACACTGACACGCTATAGCCACCTGACGCGACGGTAGGTGACGACTACGTAGACGACTGCGTTTAATGTAGATCTTCCCAGTGACATTTGAAATTACTCGAAAACGCGAATTATATATACTTGTATGTATTAACTTGGCATCGCAAATTGGTCTAAAGCAATCGGGCCTTTATATATTCAGTGGCCAATTGAAGTTATGATATTAGTTAAAGCGGGAGAGTCTGTCGCCACCTGCGCATGCGTCAGATAGCGTGTCATTGTTTACGAACAAGCGTCTACTCATGAGCCTTTGCGTTTTTAGCGTGTGTTGTTATCATCGCTTGAGACTCAATTCCCGCGCGTGCGCAGGTGACGGACCCCCCCCCCCCACGCTTTAACGGAAGGGTAAACAATTCAACTGCGATTTTCCAATGACCTCATTATAATATCGATGGATAAAAAGCGACTGTCACGTTAATATGGCGAAGATAAGATGGTGGGGGGAAACGACAATTTCGGAGTCAAAACATTCGAAAATTTAATTACTGGAAATATTTAAATATTTACCTTAGAAAATCTATAAAAACTGTGTGCCTGTAGAATGTGGCTGGTCTTGGCAGTGATGTGATACGTTGTACAAGTTCAAGCTACGTCACGAGAAAAAACGAGTAATTTAACTTAAAAGATTTACCATCGCAATCTGCGCTGTTTCCATTGAGTGTAATGAATGTTTTAAAAAAAGCATAAGCAGTGTTTTTTTGTTTGTTATTTTTCCCATATTTTTCAATCCGTATACACTGTAACCTCATTATAACGAACACGTAGGGAGACAGCCATTTAGTTTGTTATATTGAAGTGTTCGTTATACTGAATAACCTATTCATTGCTCGTATTGACACCCGGGATTGAAACCTATTCATATGCAAAACAATAAAGTCGTTGTAGTTGTGTTGTTTCATTTTATTCTACCATCACTACACGTGCCGAACCTCAGTGTGAGCAAACTGGAAATTAATTGTTGTTTTTCAGAATATGTACATACATATATAAATCTCCGCAAATAACATCATATATTTGACACCACACGTAAATTACTTGGCACCACATAGGACATTTTGGTCAGGTTCAGACTTTTTTTGTTATTTATATTCTTTTTGTTTTGAATTTACATTGTAATTTACAATATCTATCACATATAATTCGTATTAAACTATTATGTGTTATGTGAAGTCAACCTATTCCGGCCTGACAGCAATGGGGGACTACGAGACACTACGAGAAAGACTTTCTGTTTTCGACATTGTGAAATTCTTTCGTTTTTATGCATAAAAATACAGTATTTTTACTAAGTAAAATTATATTTATTAAAGTTATTGTTCATACATGAATTGTTGAACACACTAGATAGTTTGTAGCTTCATTCAGCTTCTTTCTGTCATAATTCAAGACAAATAGAAGGCAAAAATATAGAGAATATAGCAAATTATCTTTTTTCAGTACTAATATTCTTGTGTAATCGGTAATTATAAAAATTAGTTATGGATGCATAGGTAATACATTTCGTTATGAATTATTCTTAATATATTTCTCCTAAAAAACGAAAGAATTTCACTATGTCGAAAACGGAATGTCTTTATCGTAGTCTTATATTTTGTATTTCATTAGATCTGGCTGTCTGACTTTTTTGTCTGCATGAATATACGTATATTTTCCTACAACTAGAAAGAGAAGTTGATCAAAAATTTCCTCCCCAAGTAAGATTTGTTTCAATATTGGCTCAAACTTTCATAGAGTTATTTTTTTTTTAAATGATTAAACCATTTTACGTGCTCATGCATGATGCCTTTACATTCATGTGTTTCGGGTGACCGTCGACGCTGTAAGCAGACTTCCTGTCACCTTGTTTCATTTACGTTAAAAGGCGCTTCATCGTTTGAGGCGCGACTTACGGAAATGACGTATTGAAGGGCGCCTTACCTGGTCAGTCGGTGTTAAGTATCTTGATTTGCTATTCGGTGTTTTGCTTTGACCAGCCGAGGTGAAGTTGTTTATCCTGCCCAATCGACGGAGTAGGTAGACCAGTGAACGACTTCCGCACTTACCAACCTTGTTGTAGAAAACTAAATCTGTTGCCTATGTATGAAACGGAATGAAAAATATTTCATTTACTGCTCGCACACGGCAACAATGGAAACGAAAGAACATATTACCAATTATTTTAATTTCATTAGTCCCCCCCGGGGAGGGGTCCCGCGTTGGCAGATAGATGGTGCAACACTCCCGTCCGCCCCGACCTTGACTGTGTTGAGGGCGTACTTACGAATAAATGACTGCTGCAATCGCAATATATTCGTCGACTTTCCATTGCAGAGTTCGCATAAATCTTCCATGCGCGCCGTGTACACTAGAAGTCTGACATTAATAGACTGACTTAGTCACGAACGTCGAAATAGCACTATGAATTATCAAACGCAGTGGTTCGTAAATTAAACGCATATACACAACAATACCCAACAGCCAATTAACTATTTATTACCACCCAGGACGTCCGTAGTTAGAACGACGATTATCAATATGAAGGGCGATCTACGTGACTCGGGTCACAACAACCCACCCACGGGGACGAATAGACTGTATCATGAGATGATTGCAGTCTTTCTTTATGTTCCCAAGCTGACGCCTACGAATACTCCGTTCTCACAGGTCGCGCCGGCCTTCTGGTGCAGAATCGTGTAAATAAGTGTAAACCACGCGCGATTTAGGGGGAGGTGCTTTTCAGCCCGCAAAAAAAAATGACAAATCATTTGACAAACCCATCCCACCGTGGGACTAGTTCGGCCACGTCAATAGCTGCGCGCACCCCTTACCGAATATCTGGATCTGCCAGACTAGTGTAAACATGTATATTATACCATACCGCCGCGCCTTTCACATCTTCGGTCCATTTCTAGGCGTTTCGGCCCTGGTCGCGCACGGCCCTGGTAAATAAAAGACGTTACGGCCCCGAAATACTGTAGAACATGTTGAAATAGCTGCATGCAATTTTAGTGGATTTGACTCTTGGTATGAATTAACAGAATCTTAATTTAGCTAAAGGGTCGACTATGTCCCTGTGAGAATATATTTTCTGTTAAATTAGCTACATCTTTAATTAGTGAAATCACAGATTAGCTAAATTAGCTAAAATAACATGCTAGCTTAAAAGACATATTTTACAGTAGGTTGGTCGTTACGGGCCTGGTATAAATTTTATTTGATATGTGTTGACCTTTTGTTTTGTTGCATTCAATTGAAATAACGAAAGTTTTTACAGACAAATAGAGATGTCTATTTCAACGACATTGCTTACTGACGACATAGAAGCGTAGAAGATGCAAGTTATCGGAAAGGTGCAATGGACGAAAATCGGTCAATTTTTGCAAATTATTCTCTCGCCATATTAATTTATTGTTTCATCCCTGTTATACTATATATTGTTATAGACTTACCGTAGTATTAAAACTGGCGGTCGACGACTGTGACCAATTCCAAATGCCATAATCGGGGTAAAGCAGTCTACTATCCAAAACTGTCATTGAAAAAAAAAAAAAATTAATTCACAAAATGAATCTTATCGACACTTTTAAAAACTAGGACATCTTTGCATTTGCTATTATACATCTCTCAGCGGCCCCAGACGGTACGTACGACCTTCGACAAAGTCTGTACAAGGCGACGTACTTGGTTGTGTTGTGACGTAAATCACGTCGAGTACAAATGAGATTCCATCAAATTAAATCGTTGCTTTCTGTGTTTCTTTTATTTTGGTGCCCACGCGGTATATCCCTTTCTTGGACGTGTTAGCTGGTGCATGATGGGCTGAAAAGTGCGTTTTCATGGTTACCGTGGGTGGATTCATGACAACCCCGAGATTGCATGCATCTATCTGTCTACAAAAATGACTCAACACGCTTTGGGTCGAATGTTACAAGCAGGGACAATTACCAGTGAAATTATCATGCTATGTACCGAAAACTAATTTCAAATTACATCGGTTTATTTGCATATATATTTGATTTGTAATTTTCCAATATCCTGACGTGTCAACTATATAATGTGTACATTGCATGCGTTAGAGTTCATTAATGTTGTTATTACATTTAAGCGTATTTTGTAATTGCGGTCTGCTTTCAGAGTAATGTCTGAATTCGTAGTCAATCACATTTAGCTTCCAATAAGAACCCCCCTCCTATTTGCTCTTGGATATTGCACAAGTTATAGTTGGAATACTTTATTTTCGCTGAAAAGGCTTTTTTGGGCGTTTTGCTTGGAATTTATTTTCACTGAATTTTGATGAGTTTAATGTGAAATATAGGAAAAAAATATATTCGCTGGATTTTATTTTCACGGAATCATCCCTTCAGCAAAAATAGCGAAAATAAATTCCAAGCAAAAATAAAGTATTCTACAGTATACGGGAGAGTTATAGAAGTGTACATATGCAATCCCCACTTACCGACAACTCCAGTATCCGTATTCAACGGGACCGAATAATCACGATAAACTACAAACACGTAGAAAGTCAAACATGCGGTGAGAAATAGACTGGCACCAAGGGAAAGGCGATGTATCGGTTTCTGTTGGAGCACTCGGACATAAGACATCGCGTCGCAATACTTCTAGCAGACTGTCACGATTTGACACCAGTAGTGAATATGAAGAATCAACTACGGTCTGCGTCGCTTTGTCACAGTTACCGGAAATACATGATGCCCACCGGAAATTGAATTTCAATTATGTCCATGTATACTCTGAAATGTAAATGAAAGTTAAATAGCATATGTTTACAACATACTGCCCTTCATTTATTCGTCAATTTCATTGTTTTTCGGAACACAGAAAATCCCCATAATTGATTGATATTTGAAATTTGCCAATTGCATTACATGACACGATTGACACCAGAACAGACGTCCATTAATAACGGTATACTTCAGCTCTCCGTGATTGACACGAGAACATACGTCCATTAATAGCGGTATACTTCAGCCCGGTTACTACATTTTTAGTAACTGTGATTTCAGCTTTCCGCGATTGAAACTAAAACAGACGTCCATTAATAGCGGTACTTTAGTTTTACATCGCCGCATATACAAATAGAACGACACAATAACTAAAATACGATGTGAACATATGCATATCATGTATTTATAGAAATATTTTCGCTTTTGCACTTAGTTTTATCCCAGATGTTTTACAAATTGTTAAATTGAATTTCATGTTGGGTTCTACTTTACACATGTACCACCTGTTCTTAATATGACAGCCACAGAATTATCACGGCGGTGGGGGGGGGGGGTGGAATGCGTCGTATAATGTGTGTCTCCTAAGTTTATTTTGTATACAGTCATAATTCTGTGTCTTTATTTTATATACAGCCACGTGACATTTTACGACATGTACTATATTAAAATGATTTCAATCAGTTAAGTTTGCAAAATAATAAGTTAAAACAAAATTTTTAATTCTCAAACCCAATGTGAGAAACCTTGATATTTATGTATAATCTGTAACAAAATATAAAAAACAAATACATTATATATTATGATAAAAACTAGTAGCTTCGCGATGAGCGGTTTTCGCGAAGATTCGCTGTATTTTTATCGGAGTTGAGAATCTGATGTTGTATGTGCCATTAACAACCGGTGTTAATCTGGGAATACCATGTATAATTAAAATGATACATATGAGATATGTAATTATATGCATAAATGATACATACTAACGAGAAAACGCCCTTCGCGTTAAGCGTTATTTACGAAAATATTTGTTCACAATTTTATAAACTGTCAGGGAAATTCCCACCACCAATACAAATCCACATAATTTTGTTTACCTCGCAAGTGTACTATGATTGCATATTTTAATACATACACACTCAAAATATTTATCATATAACCTGGACAAAAGAAAGCATTATTTTTCTATGCCATGAGACATTTTCCCTATCTGTGTAACGTCATATTTTAGTACAAGGTAATAAACATGATATACGTTAACTGGGTGTAATATATCCTAGCTAGTTTCTAGTGCGCCACCTCATATTACTTGACAATAGTCTACAAATATTTCGTAAGCTATAATATAATGTGTACATATTTTAATACATACAGGCACACTCATTCAAGAATTCGTTATATAACCTTGAAAAAAAATCATTATTTGTCAAACTTCATGTGGAAATCCTAATAAATTAGATTTAAAGTTCACAGCTGACGGTTTAGCAATATTATCAACTTGTCCATGGTGGCTGCATGATTTAAAATATTGTATTCACTGTCATTTATTTTGTAGTAACATTTGTATGTACATGTATACCATAGTATCTTGTTCTTACTGATTTGACAACACTGTGTACTAGACAGTTTCAGTACTTGTGTTCTCCAGCATAAATATAGGATTGTTCGGAAGCATAAGATTGTAATGTGAATTTCGTTCATCAATACTGTATGATGACGCTATCTTCCGAGCCTACCCGTTAGTCCCATATCGAGGGGGCGAGGGGTAGCTGAAAATAAAATGAAGTTATCCATGTCTACGAATTTACGGTTTTTATTTATTTAAATTACATTATATTATGAAAATAAAAACAATTGATTACAGACGACAGTGACAGCCACCAAAACGTAATTGGAGGCAAATAAACATGTGAAGCATAAACGACTGTTTTGAGTCGTAGCGTAAAATAGGGGAATACGAGTATACCATTGTTGTCTTTTGAGGGGAATGGAAATCAGGTTGTCACAATAAACGAAGGGAGCAAATCGTTTTTATGCTATGAACAAGTGAAAAACTTGAACGTACTTTTAATACTAAAGTACAACGTCATTTTTGTTTAATTAGCTAACGTTTTTAGGTTCATTTGCTGCGAGTTACAGAGCGCATACCTAAGCGGCTGCCCCTCAGCAAATAATTCAAGTGCGGTGGTCGTCGCGCAGCGCGTGTTCGAATTTCATGTAAATAAACAATGTATTTTACACGCGTTGTATACGTCGCTATGAGTCCCATATCGAACAGGACGCGGCGCGACATTTTCGGTGTCGAAATCGCAAAACTATCCGAATTTACGCAATCTGGGAAGTTCGAATTACTAAACGAAATACAGGACGACGAAGCTGAAATATTCAAAAACCAACATATACCAAAAATTATATCTCAAAAGTGAATATTCGTGGTGTATTTTAAGTCTAACCGGACCGGACAATCAATCATATGATAAGCTCCGCTCGACAAAGTCGACAGCGGAGCTAAAAAACACATAGCACTGATGAAGTCGGAAATAGTTACCGACTTTGCATTGGTCACGTGACAATGCTTCGCGGATACCAGCAACGCGCCTTTGCAGGGAAGGAGACCAATTCACACCTAATACAATAGCCGTTTCCAGACCGGGGATAGAGGAATAAACAGGGGCTTGCAGCTGCTACCGGTAGTATTATGATCGTTTACCACCTTGGAGAAACTAACAACAAAACAATGCCATCAATGTTACATCCTCCCAGGGTGTAGCTACAGAAAATGAACTAATCCTGTATATGCTAATAATCCAAATATTATATTTTATCGAAATTGAATAGCCTAGTTTATCATATAGATACTAGTGAAACTAAAAATTGCGAAGATAACATTTTTTATTGCACTATGAAAACCGGAATGGGAAACAAAAATGGACAGTTTTCTCTACAAGGATACAAAACGCTCTGAGAGTAAACAATTGCCTTTCAAATTTTGTATCATTATAACAAGTGGATTTTTTATCATATTCAGAACTAATATGTCCAACCGTTATAGTTTTACAAATGTGAATATTGGCACAGCATAACTTATTGAAAAAAAAAGTGAAATGTTATTAACTAAAACTGTTTCTGATGTATAAATAAAATAAAATCTACCAGTTATATGCACAAATGGAAGGAAGTTCGACATTCTTTTGTCTCAAACAGAAGTTGCATGTTCCTGTTTTCTAAGGACAATGAATAAAGGAAAAAAACAGAATCCTATAAATCAACCACAGTTTCTCTATCACCAGCCTTTCCCTGGCCAATCCAACTGCGACTTTCCGCGAAGCATACAGACACTCATGGTGACCATTCATGTATTTACTATGTAATTTTACATACTTTACATTTTCTGGGAGTGTTTATGAAAACAAACAAACAAGATACCGTCTAAAAGTCTCAATAAATCTCCAATCAATATCGTCATCTCCACGACGTCACAACTTCTGCGCACGCACATGATGAACTAGCGCTTTGCATGCCGGTAAATCTTTTTGTTTGTTTGTGTTTATTATTATTATTATGTTAATGATATTTCACATAATTACAAACTTGTAATGAAACTTCAATTGTAAAACAAAATTACAATAAATTGAAACAGCAATGCGCATGTATTATAACACACTGATCGGGTTTGATCGAGTTCGGCAAAAAAAGAGGGTATGTCTTTTTTTCCATCTAGTACACAGTGGTTAGGGTTATATTTATTCCTGGATCAGTGGATGAAGTAGTTTTAAGGTCCTGCGACATCATCTGTAGAAATTAATTCTAAAGATTTAGTACAAAAATATGAAACTCGTTCCTGCTAGATTGAATGTCGGGACAACAACCTATTGGTTTGGTGAAAATGTACCGTGATTACTCGCCGTACAGACAAGTTATAGCAGACGAAAATAAATATGATGTGTTTGTTGTACGAACGTGTTATCAGCACACGAAAATAAATATGCCGTACTTGCAATTTACGAAACGATTAAATAATATCAACGCGTGGTGACCACAAAGTCCGGACCGGAAATTCAGGCCGAACCTTCCATGCACTGGTGCAATTAATTCATTATCTTATGTCCTGTGAAGCATCAATGGCGACAGTGTTTTTTTTTTTTTTTTTTGTTTTTTTTTAGTTTTTTTGGCTTTTCGATAATATACTCGTTGTAACTGATATAAAAATAATGTTACAGTATATCAAAGCTATCGGAATATCGTGTAGATATTGTCACCATGGATACCGAGACAACGGGAGGCTAACTCAAAACAATAGCTGATACGGGAGACAGACGATAAGGTGAAAGTCAAAAATATCGTAATTTAAGAGTCACCTACCACCAGATGTGGTACGGATTGGTGCAATTATTGGTTACATTTGACTCTAATGTGGAAGAATTTGTTTACAGGCATCTGCTTACATAGACGGGTAGAACAAAGCATGTCAGATAGCACAGTTTCGTGTCGGAAATGTTACTAAAATAGCACAGCGTCTCCACAATGAACAAAACCCTTTTAAAAACGTCAAGATGTGCTGTTTTAAGGGTAGGACAAACCCCCTTCCGGACACAGCCCCGCTATTGCAAAGTGCTACCATGACAACCCTCTTCCGGCACAGTCCCGCTATTGCAAAGTGCAACCAGAGCACACACAAAAACTCAAACTTCACCAGAAAATGAGAGATTATGACATTATTGATTTGTACTACACTGATAAACGAAGATACACTATCTACGAAATGTTGTCGTCTGCAACTGGCCTAGAAGGCGTAGTGACGTACATCCGGTTTATAACATCCACATTACATTAAGAAAATTCTCAGTTCTCAGTAAATCTTTCCTGTCGTGTGGTATTTCAATTAACCCACCCAAAGTAGTTTGAAACCAAGAAGCGCACGCGCGAAATGTTCGTCTCCATGTATGAAACGCATTTTAGATGAATCTCTTGGAACAATGAGCTATTGTGTCGTATATGCAGTAAATGATTTC